TGAGGACTCAGCACTTGCCGTTCCCTCTGCCTGAAACAGGTTCCCCAAGCTAGCTGCATGGCAGAGCTCCCTCCTTCAGGCCTTTACCCAAATATCACCTTCTCTGAACTTTCAACCCTCCACCCCAACAGTAACACTTGCTTTCCACCTCTACAAGGGTGGGGATTTTTGTCTTTTTTGTTCATGACTGCATCCGTAACTACCTAGAACAGTGTCTGGAATCTAGAGAGCCCTTAGTAAGTCTTGGGTTCAATGAATGAATCTCTGGCTTTTTGAACAGCCCTGCTCCCCACTAAACTGTCAGTAGAAAGGTTGTCACAGTCACATAGGGAGGAAGAAGTCAATGCCCAATCTGTGTCTTATTTTCTTTATAAAACTTATCTTCTATGCAAATGCCTCTAACAAAGTAGTAGCAAATAATAGTGTAACACTCCTAATTATACTCTAGACCAACTTTCCTACCTGATATATTAAACATGACTGTTGTTTTAGGTTAATGTGCTATGAAATTTAATGGAAAAGTTTTCACAAATTAAGTTTTCAAAGGATTCTAAACTATTAAGACGTGACTAACAAGTGGATTTCTACCTTTATAATTGAAATGGTCCAGGGCTTAAATAACCCCTATATTCTAAGAATAGGAAAGCTAACACACAGGTACACTAAGGTCTAAAGCCCTCATAAACCACAGCAACAAAACAGATCTCTGAGCAACCTGGAGGAATCTGGTAAACTGGTCAGAAGCAAATTTATTATAATTAAACATTACCTTCCTTTATCTCTGCTTCGCTCTGTGGCTTGAATTCACACGTACTTTTATTCACACATCTGGAAAAGAAAACTCTTGATACACACTAAAGAATAAAGAACACTTGACATGTTAGAATTTTTAACTCTCAAGAAATAATAGTGAAAAAAAAAACCCCAAAAACCAGTCAACAATTACAAGCCTGTTGTGAACTACTTAGGTCTAGAGTATAGTAAAAGAGATGTTTTATTTTTTTCTTTCAGTTCCTTTTTAGGAAAAGAATTCTTACAGATAAAGGCCAGGTATTAAACATGTGTGTGATGCAGTGATCCTATATTTTAGTATCATAATAACCATCCATATACGTGGTAGGGCAGGATTATAGCTTCCCTAATTCAAATGACCCCACTTATTACAGAGTTAAAGGATTAAAATGCACTCCAGTGCTAAGAACCTAACCACAGCTACACAGAGTCAGGATATGGGAAAGCACTGGTGTTCTTCAACTGTGTGAGGCTCCTTTCTTGTGATGAGCCAGCAGCCATAGTGTAATATCCTCAACACTTTAAAAATAAGTTATCAAGAAAAAAAAAGGTAAAAAGTGTAAAGCACTTTTAATTTTACAAATTCCCATAAAAACATGAGTTAAAAGACAACTGAAGGGGGCCGGCCCGGTGGCGCACTGCTACAGTGCGCCGCTTGGGAG